AACAACAATAATAAAAAGAATCACATCCACACACCCCTCCACCTTTTTTGTCTTCCCCACTTCACATCTCTGTGTATAGTTAAACACAACTGTTGCCCAACACAGCCCGTCTAATAACAGGAAAGACGGTGAATGTTAAGGCGACGTGAGCCCCAACGTGTACACTCCGCGCCACAACACCAGCGTAAAAGCCGGCCAATCCACGCTCACGGTAAATCGCCTGATAACATCCAAAACAACTCCTGTGTAGTGAATTCCTCTTGTTTATACTTTTATTATTATTATTATTATTATTATTATTATTATTATTATTATTATTATTATGAAGGGTATGTGGGAGTACCATACCCGACTGCAGGTGTGTCTTCACAACATCCACCGGCTGCGTCACCACAACAGAAACAACACCCGCACAAAAGCCGGCAATTCCATTCCAAAGTGGACTCCGCCGCCTCTCTTCACACTGCCACGATAAAGACTTCACAAACTCACCACTATTATTATTATTATTATTATTATTATTATTATTATGGATAGAATGAATAGAGGGAATCCCCACAGCGGGACCATAACAAAATACATCCATACAAAGCTTCTGTACAGGGAATCGCAAAGCTTGATTAAGTCCCTGCTTTAACATAGTAGTACCAACACCACTGTAGAAAGTACGACGCAAACCATTCTCATGCAGCATTAATTGAACCGCACGTATAGTACTGAGAGAACTGTAATGAGGAGACGGCCGTTTGGCATCTTGAATTAAACGCGTCTTCACACTCTCCGCAGGGGCTACCGCACATACAGCCTCTACACAACCTGCAAAAAACCCACACACACTTAAGATGGATAAACTCAATCCTGCAGTATGACTTTTTTTTTCCTTCGCTATTTTTCTGTGTTTTATCGTATCCACATTCGTAGCCCCATCCGTAGTAGAAGTAATATTGCGGTTGTGAATAGTATTACTAGTAGTATTAGTAGTATTAGTTAAGAAGGTTGCGGCCGTCTCTGTGGCCCACTCATACGCCGACCATCGAGATGCCTGTTTGGGAATAGAACCCAAAAGTACCGGCGTAAAGCCACGATAAAGACCCATCGGACTATGATTCCGCACAGTTGTACACACACAGTCCCACATTCCTCTATACACACGCGGCTGTGCAGCCATTGAAGAAGAAGTAGTAGTAGTAGTAGTAGTAGTAGTAGTAGTAGTAGAAGAAGAAAATGATACACCATGTGAAAGCTGCTGTAATTGCAGATTCGTCTTGACGTACTCTATTGGATATGTGCAGAAGGCCTCAATACCACCCGTTAATGCCCCCGCAATAAATGACCAAAAGACAATATGTTGATCATTTGGTAAGAGTTCCTGTTTCTTCTGCTGCTGCTGTGGGAATGGATGAATAGATGGTATAGTGGAAGAGGTGCCAACAGCTACAGTGGCCATCTTGCAAATGCGCTGCAAGTGTGAGTGTCCACTATGTGAGACTTGACTTTCTTTTCTATATAGATAAATAGAAAAAAATAATAAAAAAATAAGAAAAAAAAAAAAAACAGGGTTTTAAGGAAAGAATATAAAAAGAAAGTAGAAAAAAAAAAAAAGAAAAATGCAATATCATTATACACACACACATACGTACATATATATACAAGCAAATGGAAAAATAAATAGCAGCAATAAAAATGGAAGAAAAAAAACGGATTAAAGGAAGAGTATGGATAATAGAGAAATATATCCAAACTACAGTACTCCCTTCAGGTACCAAAGCTAGACCTATTCTCACCTGAAATATATATTCGATGCGGTCAAAAACAAACAATCGCACACACTCACACACAGAAAAGAATCTTCTCATGGGAACTGTGGAAAAACTGCCCCTCCAATACTACCAACATTACCGCTACTGTTATTGTTATTATTACTATTACTATTACCGGTAATGGGGCCTCCTGTACCCCCTTTACCAACATGAAGAAAATTACAATACGGCCCGCGTCTGCAGCCTTCTCGTGTATTAAAGAAGGCACATACTTTTCCATACATTGCATTGTTCACATGACGCTCATTACGACGAATCTGTGATAGTCTATAATCCTCTGAGGATGATGTAGCGGTTGGTGGGAGTATTGGCGTGCCTAACACAGAGGATGTTGAATTCTGTTGTTGTTGTTGACCATACATGGTACCTTCCATTGTAGGAGGACTCGAAGATACTTCCGGAGAAGAAAACTTCTTGGCAGCGGGATCTGCTGCATTATTATTATTAATAATATTACTGTTATTAGTATTAGTATATGGCCTTGTACCTGAAATAGGTGTTCCTGTGGCATCTCTTGTATATCCATCTGCATGTATAGAAGGACCACTGCTATTACTATTACTATTAGACCCTGCTGTATTACGTGGGTGTGTCGTCACTGTGATGAGATCAAGTGCCGATGGATCTGCGCACTGCACACCGCAGTGTCCATTCATTGCAAAATAAAAATCCATCACGGCTTGATGAGCCACATGCGGTGGTGGCCGCAGTGAGAGAAGATTAGGTGCCGTGACGGACTGCAGTTGATCTGCAGATAGTGGTTGATACGGTGAGGTCTGCAGTTTCCGCACAAGACAGACCGCCGATGGGGCCGCGTGCTCCACCACGTAATTAATCTTCACAGCACCGGAGGAATGACTGTTCGCCGTACTCACACGAGAGGATGGGGAATTGGTGGTTGTCGTCATTTGCAGAAAAAAAAAAAAATAAATAAATATATATAAATATATATTTGTTGACTGTTGAGATTTGGTAATAATGGTGGTGATGGTGATGGGGTGGGGGGAAAAGTATACGTGACAAATAACAAAACAAAACAAAAAATGCAAACACGTTAAAGTATATAGAAGCATACGAATAAGTAAATCATAAAAAAAAAAAAAAAACTCTCGCTCTTCATATCTTTTTTCTCTTTCTCTCCTTCTCACAGTAAGTATATATATATATATTTATCTGTTTTCTGTACGACCGCCTGCATTGGGATATTTATATCTCCGTCTCTTCTTCTTTTTTCTCTCTCTCTCTCTCTCTCTCTCTCTCTCTTGGATTCGCAACCATTATTTATAACGCAAACAAACAAACAAATTGTTCTCATGATAAGAAATCATCTTCTGCAAAGAGTCGCCCACATAAATAACGTCAAATTATTCATTTATTTCCTGCCCAATACATGAACATATATATTGCACCTATAATGGCAATAAAAAGCATTCATATCAATAAGAAGTTAACAGAGAAATAATAATGAAAACATAATAAAGCACAAAACAAAACAAAACAAAAAAAAACAAGCAATATACGAATAGCACAAATGCACTGAAATATACTCTCTCTCTCTCTCACTTTCCTTTTCTTTTATGTATTTCACATTCCCTTTTTTTTTTTTCTTCTCATTTTCCTGTTTCTTCATTATGAAGAATAAAAATAACCTCCTCACACTTACCTTACATGAGGAGTTCTACTCCTACTATTCTTTTTCTTTCCTCCTCCTCCTCTTACTCCTTCCCCTTCTTCATCCTCCTCCTCATCATCATTGCCATGCCTATGTTGACTATTCCTTCCACTTTGACGAGATGTAAAGAGGACTGTATTTCCCTTTGCATGATAAATCGCCGCTTCTTCAGGTGGTAATGCCATAAAATCCCGTGGAGTCCGTTGTGGATAACGTCTAAGAAATGTCATCATTCCCATAAGTTCAGACATTGCCCACGCCTCTCGTTGTTTGTGTGGTTGTTTCTCTCCACCAACATCCTCCTCCTCCCCCGACTGTGGTGTATACAAGACGGTGCTGTTTTTATTTTCTACAACAGGGGCGAAGTCGCCAGCGAGGCAGAGGTGTTCTCCAATAAATTTCATAAGTCTATATCGATGATGTGGATGGACCGTTACTTTGCCTGTGTGTGGACACGGTAGAAGTAAAACTGGACAAGCGTTGTCAGTGATATCTTGCAGTAAAACACCAGGCTGACCAAATAATTCTCGTGGATAAATAAATGGTGTGTTGGCAGGAACACGAGTGGGTTTTTCGTTAATGTGGATCATAAAGAAAGATTCCCTAGATGAATGAAAATCATCCGTGAGTTCATTTTGCTGAGGCAATAATGATGCTCCTCCTCCTGCTCCTGTTGCTGCTGCTGATGATGTGGGTAATAACGATTCAGTATTATTATTATTATTATTATTATTATTATTATTATTATTATTATTATTAGTAGGAGGATGAACTGATGGAGTGTTTTCTCTAGAGTTCACATCCTCCTCTTCACAGAGTGGAGCTGTTTCCACAGACTGGGATTTAGAATTCTCCCCAATATCACTCCTAGTACTGCCGGTGGATTCACGTTTTCGCTTTCGCGTACCTGTCGTTGTTGTTGACGTCGTCGTTGTCTTTCTAACCATTTTTTCCTACCAACCCTTTTCTCTCACTAAGTATATAATAATAATAATAGTAATAAAGATATCAATATGTGAACACCTTTGAGGAAAGTCCCTGTTCACCTTCCCCAGGAAAACACTTGAAATTTGAAATATGAGACCATAACGACAAGAAAGAATAACGTAACGGATAACATCAGAAACAGATGGGAGAGGTAGGCTATATACGTATATATACATATATATGTGTATAAAAAAAAAATTATAAAATATTTTAAGTAAGAAAAACACTATTACCGTACAACAACAACAACAAAAAAAAAAACTATTATGTTTACTCCATACCCATAATAACATTACGTTATCAACAGACACACACACTTTCTCTCTCTTTCTCTCAGCATATCTATAGCTATATCTTTATTTAAATACCTCCCTCACCGCGTAGTGTCGTATGCAAATTACTATCTGGTGATGACAATAACTCATCATCATCATCCCCCTCTTCTCGCCATTCATACGTCGGAGCACTTCCATTAACACTCCCTCTACTGCTGCTTCTCTGGGCCGCAGTCCACAACGGCACCACATCTGGCACCCCACCACTATGATGATGATGATAATGATGATAATAATGAGAGTGATGATGATGATGAGATGGATGTTGAGATGAATGATGATGATGAGATGAGTGACGGGATTGATAATAATGATGATGATGATGATGATGAACCATCGGTCGTGATCCCAGCCGTACAGTTCGTCTTCCCTCAGGCACCACATCTACACTTTCATTATCATCATCATCCTCATCATCCATATCATTTCCTCCACCTTCTCTTTCTCTTTCACCCTCTTCTTCTTCTTCCGCCTCTTCATCCCCAAACCCACCATAATTAAGTCTATCCAATGGAATACTGGAACTCCCACGTGGTCCACTTCCATAATTGTAATGACTACCGCTGGAGGCTTCTCTATATCGTCTTTGCCGCGGAGACCAGGAAGGACGTCCTTCTATAAATACACTCCCACGACCTCCTCCACCTCCACCAGTATTAGTAGTATTAGTAGTACTTACATCCTCATCCTCATCTGCAAAATCTGCAAGTCCCCAACTTCCACGTGCGTGTTCTGCTGTCATGGATCTCGTATTTGCTGTTCCCTGCAAATCGGTATATCGACCCGCACGATACGCCATATCTGCAGATGTTGCCGTCCCCGCCGCCACCGCCGCAGCTGCAGGAGACATGGATGGTAAAACTCTATCACGACGTAAATGTATATACGGCGGTGAGGTGCGATGTCCTGCAGTTCCACGCATATCACTTCGCTCCGAATGACGTGGTGGTCTTGTACGGGAATGACCAACAGAGGCGGGAGATGTTCGTCGTGGTAATCGATAAGTTGTTCGTGGTTGTAAAATAGGAATATCATAATGATATCGTAAGAGAGCATTACAACTGGCTTCATAATATGCCATTAACAAAGCAGGATGATCTAACGGTGAATAGGATGGTGGGGCAGCTGTAGTACTATTATTATTATTATTAGCACCAGCAGCTGTAGGAGATCTCATACCACGATTAACAGCAGATTGAGTTTGCCTTCGCTGTTCTTCTTCTTCTAATTGATGTTGTTGATGTTGATTGTAGTAAGTGGCATCTGTGCCACCATCATCAGTACGCAATGCCGCCGGGTTACTCCACGCCTGTCGCACAAGCGCCGTGAAGAGTCCCTCAGTTATCATTTCTAATAGAAATACAATATTATTGTTTTTTTTTTTTTTTACTAACGGATGATATTAGAGGGATTTAAAAAGGATACTTAAATACCGTTCTAATACACAAGAGAAAAATTAAAAAGAAAAAAAAAATAAAAAATCTTATATACACATAAAAAAAGGAAGAAAAAAAGGGAATAAATGCATTTTAACACTGTCATGTTGTTAATTTCTCCCTTTCCTCTTTTTTTCTTTTTCTTTTGCTTCTTCTCGTTTTCGTTTTCTCAATGATTCCTTACGTTATAATGTTAAAAAGTAATATATATCCTCCTCTTCAGATACACCATCACACACCATCACACAGACAAACAGAGACACACGCATGTACACAAATAATAACACCGGATATCAACTACACACACATACACATATATATATATATATATATATAAACAGAGAGACAGAGAGAAATCTTCATATCATCATCTTCACACCTTGCTCGTTACGCGGAACTTTGGATGGCCTTTACACAATGCCAATCCTACCGCCGTACCCACAACTGTTGGCTGCCAATCAAAGTACATAATACACACAGCCCCAACCCAACAGGCATACCGCACCCAACCATTGAAACTGTTAAGAATTTGAATAGGTGTAAATCCCTGATGTAAGTACTGCATAACAAACAATGCGGCCACAATATCCCATGGACCAAACTGTTTTTCCTTAGTATTGTTTGCCACGTAATTTCCAAGCCAAATAACAAAACCAGAAATAACAGCTGTAGCCCCGCAGTAAATCATTAAACCACGAGACCCAATCGTTGGGAGTACACTGTGGCACATGGTGTGTAGAAGCATCATTGCAAAGGTCATGGAGAGAAAGTTATTCATTAATAAGGAATGTAATCCCCATGCAAGTGGGGCAAAACTGGCATCAATACCCCAATTATCCAACCACCACTTCTCCTCCACATTACTGCCTGTACTACAAAGACAGAAGACTGTAAAGAGAATAAAATTAAGCGCATTAGCGCTATTGTAGATATCAGGAAAACGAACATAATCTTCTTTTAATCCTTGCAAATGTCCACGAAACCCTTTAGGAGGCGCCTTCTTTCCATCCTTCTCACCATTCTGTTGTTGTTGTTGTTTTTCTTCTTGTTGTTCATTTGTAGATTCGCCTGTACTTTGATCCTTTGCGCTATCCCCACGCACACGCATAAAACGTCGCTGTGTCTCTAATGTTGAGATGAGAAATGCCGACTTGCTGTGAAATAAACGCGTTGGCACGTGCAGGGCGTATCCAACAGGCCGCATTGCCACTCGTCCATGCCGGCGAATAAGTGCCTCACGTTGAAATGTTAACAGACCCGCACTGAGAGAACAGCGTAGACGTAACATCACTTAATCCCTTTTTTTTTTCTTTTTTCTTTTTTTTTAATTTATTTATTGGGTTGATTTGTTTGGTTTTTTTTTTTTCGTTTTCTTTTCCTTCTTTTTTTTTCCTGGGTTGTTATTTTTTTTTTATTTATTTCCGTACTTTTGTCTTTCCAGTATAGAGATAATGCGTTGTTTAACTCTTTCACCTTTTTTTTTCTTCTTTTTTTTTTTCTTTTTTATATCTTTCTGTGGTGGTACCAAAGTATCTTGTATAAGAAATATATATATATATGTATATATGTATACAAAATACTTTTCTAGATGTACTTAATTGTATTGACTTTTAGTTAAGTGGCAATGTGTATGTGTGTGTGCTTCTCTACAGTGCCCCACTGACAATTCCACACAGAGAATAGGCAACCACGAAGAAAAAAAAAAATATGAAAAGAAAAATAGAAAATTATCCAAATATACAGGAAAACATAGATGAGAATACATACATACATACATGAGATACAGAAAGAGAGAGAGAGATAGTTATAAAATAAAAAATGGGTGTTTATTTCTGATTTTTTTTATATAGAGTCAGTTTGACAGAAAACAAAGTACAACGAATCATAATGGAGGGAAGAACGATAGATACAATTACACACAAATACAGAAAGAGAGAAAAAAAAAAATAATTGTGAAGAAACCCTCTAAAAAATGAAGCAAAAAAGAAACAAATAAAAAATAAAAGGTATTTACAAGGTCTCTCTTCTACACTTTTTTTTTTTTGAGAAAAAAACCCCATTTTTTTTTTTTTCTCCCTCTTTCCTTCCAACTAGGATATAGAATCTAAATACACGTAGAATACAGAAAAAAAAAAACAAACAAACAAACAAACCCACACACATACACATACAGTAGAAGCCATACATTACTATTCTACTTAATCAAATACACCAGCAAGAGGATCAAAGGTTCCATTTACAGAAGAATGAGCACCTGGCGTATTTCGCACAACAGCACTCTGATTAAGTCCAGCAAATACACCTGGACTTCGAAATGCACGTACCGATGATCCTTCCATTCTTCCTTCTCCAATAGTATTAGTAGTATTGATATTAGTTGTATTTGTTTTCTCATTTGTTCTTGTATTTATTGTCGATGGCACACCAGGACGTACAGGTGTGGATTGACTGGCATTATCCCCAACAAAGTGCGGTACAACCACTACTCTCGCCGTATCTATATTGGTATGATGACTCTTCACAGGATCTATTTGTTTTGCCTCACATTGACGGAGTCGTGATTTAATTTCCATCACATCTTCTAGTAACATCCGTTGTTGTTTTCCTAATATGTGCGGTGTGAGTCCCACTTCCTCCGCTGTATGTAAATTATGTTGAATCTCCTGCAATTGCAGACACAATCCTTTGAAATCTGCCCGGAGTACACTCACACGTTGATCTAAACTTGCCATTGTAGAAGATGGAGCCACCGCTGCTTGCATCGCCTCACGCAATGTTAATTGTTGTTCTTCCAATAACTTCACCGCGGCATCTATGCGTTCAATATCTTGTCGAATCTCTGCTAACAACTCCTGTTCAGATAAGCGCACATACCGTTGTACTTCCTCTTCCACCTGTTGTTGTAATCGCACGGTTGTATCACTTGTGAAGATCCGCACACGTCGTACTTCATCCCCAATGCGTTTCTGCACGGTTTCTTCCATATATTTAGTGAATTGCTGCTGTTGCTCTGCACGATCTTCCATCGTGTGTTGTAATCGACGGAGATCTGCCTGTGTCTCGTGTACAATACGTTGAAGATGATCATTTCCGGTTGATAAAGCCTGTGAAGTGACTTCCTGCACTTGTTGGGCCGCTGTTAACTGCCGCGTATTCATTTCACGTTGGAGACGTCTAATCGTTTCTTCCATCTGTTCAACTGCCAATCGTAATTCCTCTTGTTGTTTATGAACCGCCAGACGTAATTCATCCCGCAATCGATCATATGATGCTGAGAGGGTTTCCAGTCGTTGTTTTTCGGTTTGTTGCATCATTTCACTCTGCCGTTCACAGACACGATGAACTTCTGCGGTCATTTCTGTATGTAAACGATGCCGTTCAGCCGCCAACTGTTTCTCCTGCCGAGCCAAAGCCGTCGTTTGCTGCATCTCCAGATGAGCGACTTGAGATTGCAGGAGACTCTTTTGTTCCTCCGCAATCGATTGGAGTTCCGCCTCTTGTCGTTGAATTGTATTTACACAACTGTGAACACGTGTGCCAAGGCGTTGTTGTTGATCCATTACTTTTTCAATCTCCACAACGCAGCGAACGAGATCTTGTCGGAGAACATCAATATCTATACGAAGTGTACGTACATCTAAGGTCCCATGTACACCAGAGGAGGGAGAACTCACAAGACCTCCTCTATTATTATTCCCACTAATAATAGTAGAATGAAAAGGAGAAGCCTGTTGCTTATTAGAATCTAAACCATTTTTTGATTTCTCTTCTTGTTGCTGTTGTTGTTGTTCACGAAGAAGTTGTCTAACGTGTGTCTCTACCATACTTCCAATATTCTCCTCAATGGTATCTAACTTTGGTTGTGCAGAGTTTTGCCATAATGTTTGTTGATATTCTAATTGTGTAATCCGCTTTTGTAGTTGGTGTATGAGATCTATATTATCTGTTGAGGAATAGAGTTTATTATTATCTCTTTGTGGACTATTATGATATGGACTTACTACATTAAACAAATTCCTCCGTTCTTCTTCTTGTTGTTGATCATAATTATCTTTTGGTAATATCCCTACAGCATAGATGGAGTTTTCTACTCGAGAGCGTAAAGCCACCACTTCCTTTTCTAGCGCATTAAAATGAACTTCATGTAATTCTAATTTCTTTTTCTGTGCTGTTGATACTGCTAAAGCTTCTGCGGCAACATGTAATACTTCCTCCAGCTGGCGCCTCGTAACTCCTTTCATATTATTATTATTATTATTATTATTATTATTATTATTATTATTATTTCTATTCTCTTCCTTATGTGAGGGGGTGGATGTGGATTCTCCAACTAGGCATTTCTGTTGAAGTTCATCCATGCGTTCTGTGAGGGCCGCGCGGGTGTTGTCGACTTCTTGCATGGCGACCATAATGGCCCGCTCCATCGCGGCTGCCCGCTGCTCAACAGACTCCACACGGCGTTCTAACATTAACTACAGAGAGAGAGAGAGAGAGAGGTGCTTATTATTTGTTAGGATATGATGTATATATTTATCTAAATGAATACCTTTTTCTTTTGTTTTCTTGTATTCTTCCTTTCAGTGTGACTATACGTATATATATAATATGTGAGAGAAAGAGAATGTGTCCTTTATGTTATGTTTCTGTCCCTTGTGTCAATCACACATCTATAATATATTTTGTTTAAGGTACAAATAATATATATATATATATATA